GAGGATGAGATGGAGGCAGATCATTTGCTGTGACGAACCCTAAAGGGGCAGCTGAAAGAATAAGAAATATATGTACATGAAGTCTTACCACTGCCTTGGTCTTTGACAGTCTACCCTCCTGCTTGCTCCTTGCTGCTGTTCCTGTTCCTTGGAATTGCTCCTGGTGTCTAGTTTTGTTCTTTAAGATTTTTTGTTTACATTTATAGCAAATTTGAATAAAGGTCAAGGTCATAGTGAGAAATAAACCTCACTTTTTGCTCGCTGATGAATTTCAGTAGCAAGTGGTGTTCAGAGTCAAACACTTCTTCCTTATTTGTACCTGTATGAAGCTCTGCAGCCTGCTAGCCACCATCAGTGAGTCCTCACATCCCTGCAGGGTCCGTTTGAGCTCCTCCCACTCCACACTGATGCCATCAAACTGCACAAGAACCTCCATTGCCCGAACCGGGTGAGCAGTGGCCAGATGCTCTGCCTCTTCCTGCATCACCAAAGAGAAACGCTATTATATGGTGCTGCTAGCCTACTGATACCTCAGAGTACTTAAACTCATATATACTTTTATACCTATTGTTTGGTTTCTTAAACTCACTTAGCCACTAAAAACATGAGAAAATTAAATCCCTGAAATACAAAAAATCATCTCTACTTGTCCGTTTAGACTCTCCAGTTAAGTGTAAAATATTACTTTTAGTGATAGATTTCAATTCTACAGCTGAAAAAGTCATATAGATGTTTTTTGTGTAAATGTCCTACCTGTAAGTGCAGTAGTTTGGGCTCCAGAACAGACAGGGCTCCCTCCATAGTAGAGAGGCGTCTCTGCAGGGCGAGGACCCCTCCCAAATCACTGCCCACATACTGGGTGGCGTCAATGGCTTTTCTCTTGTCCTGGATCTGGGACTTGATCTCGGCACACTCCAGCAGGTAGTTCTGTAGACGTAACATCGAGTCCAGTTGATCTTTCTTCTGCTCGACCAGCTCCACGATGCTGTTCCACCTGGAGAGGTGTGACAGACGGCGCACAATAAGACTGCAAGTGCACTTCAAGAGAGGCGAGTGTTGTTGTTGTGTGGGGGGAAAAAAACGTGTGATTCACGCCTACCACTTGCTTTTTGTAAAAGATTTGTTTTAGTTGTGGATATTTACTAAGTGTGTAACAGTTTTAGAACTGTTACACACTTAGTAACACGGTTTGATAAGATGACATCCTTAAATCTGGATTACATTTTTACCTAATAAGTCAATATAATCCAAATAAGCAGCAGACATATCAACCACCAATAACATCGAGGTGAAGCGATTCAGATTCAGTCATCTTCGTGTTGATGATGTGACGCTGTTTTCTTTGCAAGTCTATTTTTAACATTTCCTTTGTGTTACTCCTGACTTTGAAAGAACTCGTTGTTATTTTGACCTGATATGACCTGCTCTGATTCACGTGAGACACTTGTTTGTGCTCCACTCTGCTGCGGCTTCGGCTCAGCCTCACACATCGTCATCCAATATGTTCACCTGAATCTACTCCAGACCAACAGATCTCAGTACACACCCATTCAGCCAAGATACATGCGCGCACACACACTCACGCACATATAAACATATAAACACAAATCCTTGTGACCGTACTGAGGTAATGTCAGACAGAGCGCTCAGCAGGAAAACATCTCAGTGACACTGACCTCAGGGCTGGAAACCTGTTTTAAAAATGTTCAGTGAAAATTTTCATTGAATAAATCTGTTATAGAATTGGAGTAGTTATGTAATTATTAGGGGTGCAACGATACTCGTATCGATATTGAACCGTTCGATACAGTGCTTTCGGTTTGGTACGCATATGTAT